ACTAAAAGTCTCCCCAACACCTGAGGCAAGGTCTAAGGTGCTTCTAACCAGACAGGATCCTTGAGCACCCACTGCTGGGCATGGGGAGCACTCTCATCTTGTCTGCAGGTTGAGAGCTAGGAACACGTTTGTGGAGAAGCTGTTCTGATGCAACTGAGCCCTGCTAATGAGAGTGCAGATCCCCAGTGTGAGATTGAAGTCATGCTGGATCTTTGCCAAGGTTTCTGGGACAATCGCTATGATGCAATTGCCATATGCCCATGTGACTTCACAAACTGCTTTCCCTCTACATTCTAATTCTTCATTTATATGGGAAGGCTACTCATCTAATCATTTTCCTTTAATATTTTCTTTGACTTTGGTGATCATAATATAGTTACATCATTTCTCCTTCTCTTTCTTCCCTCTGAACCCTCTCATGTATCCATCCTTGCTCTCTTTAAAATTAATGTCCTCTCTTTTTAGTCGTTGTTGTTATATACATATATGTGCATATGTATACATATACATATGAATATATATACATATATTCCTAAATATAACCTGCTTAGTCTGTATAACAGAAAACTACAACCAACCAAATGTAGAGTTGCAGAGTCCATTACCAATGAATGCACCCACAAATCACTCCTGTACCTGAGGCTCAGGGAGCATTGCAGAGCAGGGGTGCAAAGATTGTAAGAGCCAAAGGATCAGGGAGTTTTTTGTGAGCCTGTTCTTTCACCAGTGTAAGAACCTACACCCGTAAAGCCTTGCCAACATGGCCACCCAAGCCAAACTGAGAGAGGCCCACAACAGTAAGCATGCCAAAGTGGACTTTGGGAAGGTCACAAGGCATCAACCCTGCCCTAAGAACCAAGGGCAAGTAAGGGACTCTGAGGGCTGAGGGCAAGAGACATGACACTAGGGAGGAGCACCCCAGGGGGTCATTCACCACCAAGCAGTCAGCCGGGAACACATGCATGCACGCACACACACACATGCACACACACGCATGCATACACACACACACATACACACACACACACACACACACACAGAGCATTGTCTAGATTAGCTCTAGGGCACTGGCTGCTCTAACACTCTGTGACCCCACGGTTAACTGCAGAGTGGCAACCCACCAGGGACACCTTAAATGACCACAAAGTGCCATAACTCTCCAAGTGACCAGCCGGTCTCACCTCCTTGCTTCTTAAAGACCTTAGTAGTGAAGCTCAGATTCACACGCACAACACTTGTCCTTAGCTGGTGACTGATTGCTGGCCCCTCTCTGCAGTGTTCACTCGCCCCTGGCCTGCCTTTGGCTGAACTTCCAGAGGCTTCTTTCTCCTAGAGCATCACCACACAAGGGCGTGCTCACTCTGGGGAAACCCTGAGGGGCTTTATGGCCCCTCTGGAATCTCAGAACAGGAATGGCTTCAGCCTCCTGGGCCTAACCCAAGGGAAAGGCTACCAAATGTAAGCATGCCTCCTCGTTGTCGCCGACTCTCGTCAGTGACAGACGGTGTGCCCTGCGAGTGATGATAAATGTGAGGTGGTCTGCCGAAGAAATTGTGGGCGCTAAGATTAACCGTGAACTGACAGCCCATTCCTCTGCCCTGGTGAGTCTCATATGGCACTCCGTCTTGAGAGAGTCATGTCTGCTGAAAAAAAATAGCAACCCTCGAGTCCATGTGATTCATAGACTTAAATGATGAAAATGTCCCAACTCGGATAGAGAGATAAGGCCAGTGTGGGTAGCTTTTGGGAGCAGGCAGATCCCCAACAGCACAGACAAGGGTATCCTCAAAGAACTTTAAGGCTACTGTTCTAGGTTGGACTGAGATGGGCTTTGGTGTTTGAATGAGAACGGCCTCCATTGTTGATGTGTTGGAATATTTGGTCCGCAGTTTGTGGAGCTGTTTGGGAAGGATTGGAGGCGTGGCCTTGTTGGAGGAGGTGTGTCACTGGGGGCGGGCTTTTAGGTTTCAAGAGACTAGCACCATTCCCATTGTGTGCTCTCTGCCTGCTGCTTGAGGATCAAGATGTGAGCTCTCAGCTCTAATGTCCTGAAACTTAACTCTCAGTTAGAAACACGATTGCTGGGAAGAGACGTCATGGCCAAGGCAACTTATAAAAGAACCCATTGAATACCAGGGCCCACACTTTCCAGATGTTAGTGTCCAGTGATCGCCACAGTGGGTAGCATGGCAGCAGGCAGGCAGGCGGGCAGACGGGCATAATGCTGGATTAGCAGCTAAGAGCTTGTATCCTGGTCTCCAAGTGGAAGGCAGAGAGAGCCAGTGGGCTGTCCATGCTTTAGAAACCTCAAGTCCCACTCCCCAGTGACGCACCTCTTCCTACACCTCCTAATCCTTCCCATACAGTTCCACAAACTGGGGGCCAAGTGCTCAAAACTATGAGTCTGGGGGGGAGGAGTACATTTTCTTGCAAACCACCACATACTCTAAGCCCAATCAAATGCTTTCTTTTATAACTTGCCTTGGCCATGGTGTTTTGTGGTGGCAATAGAAGAGTAATAAAGACATGGACCAAGGAAGAGCTTCATCGCCGGACACTCTCTGAAGGCCCTAGGCTTCGCCGCCAGTCAGATCTATGGCTCAGACAGGACTCCGCCTCCCTTGGTGTCCCCAGTTCCCTGTTCAGTAAAACAGGGGCAACCCTGGGTGGTCTCGGCCTTCCTAGAACTTTGTTCTCTGATTTTTTGGTCAGACAGGTTCAGATAATGTTTTCCCTCCAGCCTGGATCCCGGTGGCCCAGGGGCTATGCCGAGGGTATGAACTGACTCCCTTTGATGTCCTTCTCCAGGAATTCTCCACACAGGTTCTCCTCATCCACTGCCTCCTTTAAATTACTAATAAAGGCCCAAGGTGTGGCATAAGAACCCAGTTAGTGTTTCCTGTGTTCATCTCTCTCTCTCTCTCTCTCTCTCTCTCTCATTGGAAGAGGGCAGCTCACCTCAGTCACCACAGATGAATCCCTGAGGGATGGGGTCATAGTTCACCAGGCAGAGGAGGTTCCCTTCTAGCTTCACAGGTTCTTTGTGGTAAGGGCTCTCAGGATCCAGGCCCTGAGGTCTTACCACATTTCCATACCATGCTTGCTCCTTCTTTCCTGTCTCATCTGTTGGGGAAACAATTGTGACAGCTGATGTTTTTTATTGCTTCTTGTTTTGAAGGTAGCTAGTTATAGTCCTTGCTGTAAAAATAAATGTCTAGGTAAAGCAACTTGAAGGGAGGAATTGTGTACTGTGGGCTCAGGGGTTGAGGAGTTTTAGTTCGCAGTCTTGCTGGGCCTGTGGCAGGGCAGGACATCATGATGGTGGAACCAGGTAGTATCTGACAGGTGTCTCAGCTGAGGCCAGACAGGAAACAGAAAACAAACACAGGAAGGGATTAAACTATATAGTTCCCAAGGACATGCCTCTTCCCCAGAGATTTTCATCCCCTCACCCACATAGGTATTGCCTGCAGCTTGTATTTCCATCATATTTAAATCCCTTGAGGGCTTAATCTGTTTATTGTATTGGTGCTCCCAGGATCCAATAATTTCCTAAAAGCCTATCAACTATCAAATGAGCTTCCAGTGTATCAGCCCCTTGGGGCATTTCCCACAAACATACCCCACAGCAAATCATCCAGTTTGGGGCATTTCCCACAAACACCCCCCCCCAGCAAATCATCCAGTTTGGGGCATTTCCCACAAACACCCCCCCCCAGCAAATCATCCAGTTTGGGGCATTTCCCACAAACACCCCCCCAGCAAATCATCCAGTTTGGGGCATTTCCCACAAACACCCCCCAGCAAATCATCCAGTTTGGGGCATTTCCCACAAACACCCCCCCCCAGCAAATCATCCAGTTTGGGGCATTTCCCACAAACACCCACCCTTGTACATTAGCCTGTTGGGGCATTTTGAATTCAAGTTATAACATATTGTGATTTTTATAGTAGCCACCAGAAGATGTTTCTGTTTCCTTCAATCATAGAAGAAACTCAGACTTCTAGCATTCAGTGTCTCGCCAAGGTCACACACTATCCTTAAGTGGCAGAGCTGGCTTGTGAACTGTGTTTTCCGACTGCCGAGTCCACATGCCAATCACTGCACAACTGGCTGCCAGCACCGAAGACCTCGAGGGAGTTTTAGCTATCTGATCGGTGAACCCGGCCGAGTGCCGGGCTGATGGGCAGTGCCAAGGTGTTTGCCCCTGGCCCATGGGAGTCACCCAGGTGAACTGTATGTAGGTCAGCTTCAGCTAAGGGACAAGGGATGCAGGACCTGCAATCCCCTCCCTTTCTGTGGACGGTGATACAGACTTGGGGTCCTTCCTGCAGACACAGCCATCATAGTAACTGCCACCTGTCATTGCAGCAAAGGTGGACTGTGCAAAGCAGAGCTGGAATGGAAGAGAATTCTGGTTAGCAGTTGGAAGTGACATCGCTCTAGCCTTAGCCTAGTAGCAACCTGGAAGCTATGGTGAAATCACTTTAAAGTCTACACAGAGATGGTGTCCGACAGCTGTGCAAGGGTCTTCTGGTGGTGTTTGGAGAATCTCTGCATAAAGTGCTCACACGGTGGCATGTGTTGCCCACGTGGAAGCAGCCCGGCAGCCCCAGGAGATTGCAAGGCTGTGGGAGGCTGTCCTGGACACTTGTGATGTGATGTGACCCAGACACCAGGGCAGACTCGTGCTCTCTCACTGTTTCTGAAATGTCTGTGACTTTTTTCCATGTGGGTACGTGATACGCCGTGTTTCAATAGCTACCATTTTGCTTGGTTCAGCTATTGGGTGGAATAGGTGCTTTTTAGAGAAACCCCCTGATACCTTTTGATGCCTTGGAACAAGCGGGAGCTCTGGCTGGCACCCTTGGGACTCTCATCTGCTTTAGGGCTGCTTTAGTGCTGTGTGCATTTAGCTGCGTTCTTTGGGAACCCAGGGAAGCCTGGGTGGGGGCAGGGCAGACTTTCAGCTAACGTGTCCCCTTCTTTTCTTCCTTAGGCAAAAGAAGGGGACCGTGGCTCACAAGCACTGGGTTGGACCTTCAAATCTGGTTAAGTGCAAGCCCTGCCCCGTGGCACAGTCGGCGATGGTCTGCGGATCTGATGGCCACACGTACACATCCAAGGTTGGTCTCTATTGTTGTCCTTGTCATAAACACCACCGCAAGTCTGCCTATCAAGTCTCTGCACCGAGCAGCCTGGCTGTTCTGGGAAGGCAGGCTCAGAGGCAGATAACTTCTGGACAAGGAGGCAAAACGAAGAGTCAATTAAGACTTTAGCTGAGAGGGAGTCCAATGTGCATAACGCAAGCTGGATGTGTCTGAGTTGGATGGATAGAGACATTTAAGTTACCAGTCACCCCGTCCTGGACCAAGTTGCTTAGCTACACACCTCACCTGGGGTTATGGCAGAGAGCCAGATCTCAGTGGTCCTTCGTTTTATGGAAATACAACCTTGTGCCATTCAGATCACGCTCTCTGGCTATGAGCCAGCTGCCTTCTCCTCTAGCCTCAGATAGGAGGACAGCCATGAGGCACCAGTGAGAGACTAGAACTCTTTGAATAAAGGATCTGTTGTCATCAATCCCTGGCCAAAACCTCCCTTCTGGCCTATTCATTTCATGCACAGAAGGAAATTAAAATGCAGCTGTCAAGACCCCTGAGCTGCAGGGCAACAGTGGCCTGTCTAATGCACTGGCCCAAAGTGCTGTCATTTGCCCAGGGACTGTCTCAGGAGCTTGCTGATCAAGGCCTTCCTGTAGTCCTGGAGGATGGCCTGTGTGTGGAGTAGGTGATGCTCTCAGGTGCAGGTGGAAAACTTGGTTAGAAGGCAGGGTTTGTGTTGGGAAGACCCCGTTACAGTGGCTCCTCACTTCTCAGAGAACTGGCCTTCCCCATCCCCAGCTCCACTCCGCAGGCAGGCGGTACCCTTCAACTCCTGAATAAGTAGGATGAGTCTGTCTCCCGGCCTTGCTCAAGTATTTTCCTGCAACGAAAGGAGATGGAAGATGGCTCATCGGAAATTGTTGTTAGTATATAATGTGTTAGTCTCCTGTTTCTGTCATTAGGTGCCCAAGACAATCACCTTTCAGAGAACTCAGAGGCCTCATTCCATTATCATTTGGCTCCATTGCATTGGGCTTGTTCACGTATAGCACAGCATTGAGGAGACATGCCATGTGACAGAAGAGTCCCATTCGCCTTAGGGTAGCCATGAAAGAAAGAAATAGAAGGGACCTGAAACCCCCATAATGAGACACTCTCCCATCACGGGCATGCTCTCACTGATCTAACTTCCTCCATCTGAGCTCTACTCCCCAAAGGTCCTACTGTCTACAGTACTGTCACAGGCTGGGGGTCAAGCCTTTGACACTCAGGCTGTTGGGTATTCCAGATCCAAACTACAGAATATGTTACACTAAGGTTCCATGCCTGCCCAAGGTAGGTGGCGCCTTCTAGAACTGGTAGAGAAGGATATACTCAGGAATGGTAATCTACAGCAGGTATTTCCCAAGATTTCAATCCCAGTTATAGGTACTAGTTATAGGTCTGGCTCCCCAGATCCCAAGATCAACCCATGAGGTTGCAGTGTTGAGATAAAGTATGTTACATGGCAAGACAAAGCCAACCCTGCAGTTCACTGCAGACAACCCTGCAGTTCACTGCAGACAACACTGTAGCTCACTGCAACCAACACTGCTGCTCTCTGCAGACAACCCTGTGGCTCACTACAGAATATGAAGTAGGCTTTGTCCCTGAACTTAGCTTCTGGGTAGTGTCAGGCCACTTTCTTAACTGTCTTTTCTATCATATTCTGTCCAGAAAAACTGAAGCTCAGCTGTGACTGGATTTTTTCTTCCTCCATGTCAAACGTGGCATTAAATAGTAGAGTCCTTTGCAAAGGCCAAAAGAGATAATGTTCTATTTGCATAGTTGTAAGGAAGACAGACACAGTGAAAATCAACCTGCTTGGATTACAGCAGGTGGTTTGTGCCACAGGAGTTTATGTACTGGGAGATTCATCTCTAGTGTGGCAGTGTTGAAACTGTGTTGGTACCCTTAAGAGGCCAGGCCTCATGAAAAGTAATTAGGTTATTGGGTACTCTTATCTTGAGTGGGATTAATGGTAGCCTTGTAGATTAAGTTCTCCCAAGAATGGGTTGTTTTTTATAGAATAAGACCTGAACCTCCCCTTGGGCCCTGGGCTCCTGTGTTGTAATATTTTATCATCTTGTGATGCCATCACCATGACCATTTTGGTGTATCTGGTAGCCAAGGGATCCGGTAAGCTGAGCAAACTTCATTTCTCCATACATTACCCAACCTTAGGCATTTTATCAGAGCAATAGTTGGGTTAAGATGACCATTATTTAGATAAGGGACAAGGAAGGAACTATGTGAGCACTGAGCTTGGTCAGTTTGGAGGCCTAGGCAGTCATCTTAGAGAAAGTGGTGGCCCTACCAGGATCTTATGGCTGAAAAGAGTCGACACTGAAAGGAACAGGATCTGGATCGTTCTTTCAGTGAAGATGATGAAGGATGAAAGACAGCAAGGTACTCGGAGAGACTCAGCCAGTGTCAGTGTGGCTGGGTCACCTGCCAGGGAGTGGGGTTGGTACAGAAACCCCAGGCCTGTAAACCACTCACTCCCTACTTGCTGCCCCGTGTATGATTTCTAAATGGGTAGGGGGCTGTTTTCTTCCACAGCAACTCTTAATGCAGTGTCTCGCTTATATCTAGATGTAAGTGAGCCATTGCTGACTACAGGGGAAAAAATCAGCCACATTTAGTACTTTGAAGACCACAGGAAGGACTTTGGACTTTAGCTTGTAAGGTCTGGGGGATCCAATTAAAGAGTCACAGTTTTGCATTCGCCTGCCTTCATGTAGAGTAGGAATCGCTGTTTGGGATGGGGCCAGATGCTGGTGACCAATGGAGCTGCAGGTGGTGATCAAGACTGGCATGGTGGTTTTTGACAGGTAAAGAAAAAGTCTAAATCAGCCCCAGGGAGTTAGCCTGGTCTTAGCGACTGATCAATTTGAAACATATAAAGTCATCTCCGCTATGAGCTCAGCATAAGGATACCTGTGTCTTCATCCTAGCTGAGCTTCTGGCTGTCCTGTCAATAGTGTCTTGGCTGTGCCTGAAAGGTTTGGAGACCATCATTTGCAAACCCCTTTTCTTCCTGCTGCTCCCTGCACAATTGGGGGAAGCTTATTCTGTGGGACGGGGGTCCAGGCTGCTGAATTTTAGCTCTGTTCAGCAGGGAAGTCTGTGATCATCTTTCATTCAGAGGGCCAGCTCTTCTACTTCTAGAAGGGAAAGCTATCTTAGAAATGGCAGCAGATCCAGAGGGGTGCTTAAGTCTTGGAAGCTCAGGGAGGGGCCCATAGGAGGGATCAACTGGGACTGTTTCCTAACATAGGAAAATGACATCCAATGTGACTTCCCATGAAGACACGTAATATCCACAACTGTGGTGATATCTTTCTTGCACAAATAAAGCCTGTCTGGGTGTCAGAGAATAGAACTTGCCACTTGCTAACCATAGAGATCTGGAGGTCTGTACAGACTGGCAGGAAGTGACGTAGTTGGGCAGAAACAGGATATAAGCAGGGAGAAACAGGAAATTGCTCTCTGCTCTGTGGAAACGCTTAGGAGGTAAGGTGTGCAGTGTTCTTGCTCCTTCTCTCTGATCTCTCAGCGTTTCCCTCTATATCTGACTCCGGCCTTTTATTATCTAGACCAATTAAGAACTCTTTTCCCCATACATGGTACATGATATCTAGGATAGAAGCCCATGATAGTATATAAAACCCAGGACTCATCCTCACACAGATACATAAAATATCCAGGATACCTGGACCAATTTCGCCCTGCCCCTGGAGGGAGTTTCATTGGCAGGATTCTTTTTCCTGTGGACTTCATTGGCCTACCCTGGCGGAAGCTCTGATGTCCCCAACTGTGCCTTTATCAGCCAGGACCCGTTATGGCCTCTGAGAAGAGGGGTCTCCTGGTGGTACCTGCCTGCTGATAATTGGAAAACAAGCAGGGAAACACCCATATGCTCTCACCCCTCCCCCACACCTTCTTCCTTAAAAGCTGCTACAACAGTTAGCAAATGGCTGGTTTATGTCTAGACTCCAAAGAGAGACACAGAGTTAAGAAGTGCTGTTGGAGAAAATGCATTCCTCTGGTTCTGAAGGTGCTCAGTGAAGGGAGGGGAGGGGAGGAGGCACTTGCTTTACAGGGCTGGCGTTTCTTCCAGCTCACTGTCGCCCCAGACTTTATTATCTTTGCTGGGGCATCTTTAATAGTTTCTAACAATCGCTACCAAGTAAAGATCGTGTTTGAAGTCCTTGGCAACTGTAGTCCCTGTTGGCCAGATTTTTCCAAGAACAGGAAATTCAGAGGATTGGAGCTGGTTTTGGGGGTGTAGGCTTGTGAGCCCCCTCCGGCTGGCTGCAGGCACTGTTTTCAGCTTCCAGCATGTCTGACCGGTGGGTGCTCCTGCTGTGAAAGTCTCGATGCACTTCTTTGCTTGTCTTCAGCCGAGGCTGGTACGAGGGGTAGGCCTGTTCCCTGCAGACCTGTGGCCTGTGAATGGTCATCACTTGTGAGTGGCTCCTGGGGGAGAGGCTGGCTGTTGCTGAAGAAGAAAAAGAGACAGCTGGGAACAGCATGACTTTGGGCTGCTGGGTGCGTCAGGAGCCCGGTGCACTGTGGTAACAGTGAAGGCAGGAGAAGGAGGGCCACAGCCAGAGGCTCCCCCAGATAGCACTGAGAGGACACTGACCAACCAACTGTGGCCTACCGGGTCCACGCTCTTCAGTAGCAGGAGGAAGAGAGCAGAGCAGTGGAGAGTTGCAGCCTGGTACCTGATTCTGGAGTCCAGTGCATGGCTTGGCTTTGTTTTTCTGTTGCACAGAAAAGGCCTTTGTGACGTTGGAGAGTCACTTGGGGGCTTCTGGCTAACTCCAAGTGATTTAGCTTCTATAGGTTAGAACGTTTTGAGATTTCGGGAGAAATCCCGTATGCATGGCAGAGGACCCAATTTGTTTTTCCCCTCAGGCCATGTTCATTTACAACTTACTGTCTTAGTCTGGGGGCGTCAGATATCATTTGGT